TTCGGTTTCGGCTTCGGCTTAGCCTTGAGCTTAGGTTAAGCTCAGGTTTAGGCTTAGGCCCAGGCGTATACTTAGGTTTTGCCTCAGACTTGGCTTGGTCTTGCGCTTGGCTTAGGCTTAGGCATAGGCCTAGCCTTAAGCTTAAGCTTAGGCTTAACTTCCTCTTGGCTTAGGCTTGGTTTGGCTTGACTGGCTTAAGCTTACGTCTAGGTTTACGCTTTAAAAACTCAGTCTTAAAACCTACATTTTCTTTCTCAGGTCCTACCGCGAGCTGTGCCAACCGTATTGCGAGCTCTCTACACCGCTCCTCGTCTTTTTGAAAATCTACGACGTCGACAATCCAGCCACGTACACCTACCCGAATCTCGACGTATTCGGCACGCAGGCTTTTATAGGTCAGTTTTCACCTAAATCTATTTATTTTTGTCTTTAAAACACTTTTGGATCAAAATTTTGCTTGCTCCAGGTGTTTTGCCATGGCGCTGCCGGTGGTAATGCATTCCATCACACTACCCCCGGCCATGCCACTGTTCCCCCATTTTGTCATGGCGGGCGCCACGATTCATTCCTATTTCACCCGCTCCCCGATCTTCGGCCCATTTGCATACAGATGACACCTATGGACGGGTGGGCGGTGAAAGGGGAGCGCCCGCAAAAATGCCCCAGCAAAAGTTTCGCCCCAGCGGTTTGTCCTGACTAGGTACTTGGCGCGTGAAAATTGGAAATGGGGATTTGGCATGAATGGAAATGGAAAACACATAAAATACATCGAGCCGGTGGTCTGGTCACATCGAAATGGTCTGAAAAATTCACCAACATGCGTATCAAAATCTATGGTGGGCCGTGCTACGCGAGCGCCTATTTACGTCTCTCTCTCTCTCTCTCTCTCTCTCTCTCTCGCTCTCTCGCGCTCTCTCTCTCTTCCGAGCCACCAAATTTACTTATTCGCCAGGAAAACTGCGTTTTCTCAAAACGTTTTCCAAATGAACCTGCCGTCCGATTGACAGAAAAGCGTAAAAATTCAGAAATTGTAGGGTTTTTGAACAAAACTCTGCGTCAGAAATTCATCGAAATTTCGGCCGGTTACGCAAAAATCTTATGAAATCGAACTAAAATAGCAGAATTTTGAAAATCGGATAAAACCACTGTCTAAGAGCCTTGGAATGTTCCAATTCTCCTATTTTCCAGGCAACAACGTGTACAACCTAAAGTTGAGCGACGATGGGCAACTCGAGTCGTTCTCCACCGCCATCCTGCCCTTCTACATGGTGTCCCATCACACGAAGACGAAAAGGTACTGCATTTTTTCGCGAAAATTCTGTATTTTTAGGTCATCTACAATTGGCTGATCGAGGCGAAGAAGACGTTTGAGCTGCCCGAATTTTCGAAGCTGTTCGAAGTTGGTTTTGGACGATAAGCCCATAGTTTTCAAACTTCAAAAAGTTAAGAACCATTTTTACAGTGTGAAATCACGGGCGATCTGCTAATTTCGGCTGAAGTGCGGCGGATGGGCCTGGAGACAGCGCCGCTGATCATCGGCTCCGTGGCAGCGATGATTGCGCTTTGTCGTGGCGAGCAGCTTTAGGTAGATTTTTATTATTCATTTTTAGGTGAATTGAATATCGATATATTTTAAAAAGCATTAAAAAGTATGAAAAATTGTGTATTATCAGCCTTGTTACTACTCATTATTTTTCCCTAGGCAATTCTTGACGTATACAAAAAAGGAAAGCGCCTAAAATCCCGATAACAAAAACCCCAGATTTGAAAGCCATTTATGGATAAAACGACTGGAAATATTACGTTTTGGCTGCCGGGGATTCGGCAAGACGCCGCGCCTTCGACCAGAATTTCGAATTTTGGCTTTTCCAAGTTTTCTCAAGCGCTTTTCGCGATGATTATATGTTAATGTTGTTCAAAAGCACGATGAAAATATTCGCTATTGCGCCATAGCCGGAAATTTTAAGACTTGTGGGAGTAGGCCCGTCTGCTGATCTATCGCTCTCACAGTCGCCACGGCCACTTCCTGCCTTCCGAACGACTGTCTAGTGCACCCAGTGGCTATCATGATTTTCGCCCAAGAAAAAAAACTGAAAATCCCGTGGAACCATGACGGCCAGACGGGAAGCTTGATTGATCTGGCGACACCCTGAAAATCTCTCAAAACTCCTGCGATTCCCGCAAATTTCAATCCGCAAACTTGGCGGCTGACCAGCTGTGAGATAGCCTTTCTTCCGGCTCCGATCCCAGGGTAGGGGTATTTTGTCCCTTTTTGTGGGTGTCGATGGGAAAGTAGTGGAGGGCATTGTGTGTGACATCACAATGGATAGTTGGGGGGAAATAGGGGGCGAGGAATCAGTGATAGATAGTCCACTCTCGAGGTCACTCTCGTCGTCGCAACCCCCAAAAAGGGAAGGCAGACAACACGCCGGGATGTGTGCAACGCTTGAAACAACGGAGGATTATCAGCGGGGGAAGCACAGGAGAAAATTCGGGTACTTCTCGTTTAACGGGGGGCAATAATGAATTATAATAAAGGGTACATAGCGCTCCACGTATTTCAATATCTCGAAGGATATTGAAATAACGTCGTAATTAACGTTAAAAATTTGTCTTTTCGTTGTAAAAAATTAAGCCTAATAACTTTTAACTTTACATTTTTTAGCATTCTACACGGTTTCTAGGTATAAAAACAAAACGATCGTTTAGATGTCGACTTTAAAATTTTTCTAAACGTGATTTTATCGAGTCTATGTAAAGGAATTTATCAAAAAACTATAAATGCATATTACTAGGCATTCTTTGTTGATAAAAATACCCCGCTAAATCGGAAGTAGCGAAAATTGTATGAATAATTATGATAAAAAGTAAGCAAATAACCGAATCGAATCCATAACAATATACAAAAAAGCATAATTTCAAACGACTATACCATTTCAGGCGAGACCCGTCACGCTCAAAGCCGTGGGAATCGTTGTGCGGCTGTCTGATTCCACTTTTGTCGCTTTTGGCCGCCGCCGGAATTATGTGCTTCTTGGGGATGAAGGTGGGCACTTTTTAACTTATCTCTGTACAAAAAAATGAATTTTCTAAGGGAAACGAGTAATTTTTAGTTCCAATCGATCATGGTAGCCTCGCTGTTCCTAGTGCTTTCCATCGGGGTAGATGATGTCTTCATTATATTGAGGTTTGTTTTGGGTTTTTTTGGATTTTCGAGAATTGCGTCGAAGATAACAAGGAGATGTTTTTGACCAAGCGTAGCTTGTGCAGATTTTTCGCTGATTCTGAACTTGTTTTCAAAATCTGCGAAACGACCATATTTCAAAAGTTATGAAGCTTTAAAGTGTGAAAAGTGTCCAAAATGGCCAACTTTCGCCGTTTTTGCCCTTGAAAACGTCATAACTTTGTTATTTTGATCGTTTCGCCAGTTCTGAAAACGTAGTTTTAATCAGCGAAAAATTCTGCATAAGCTAGGCTCAAACTCGATTGCCAATAAAAAGATCTCCTTGTAAGCCCAAAGAAAACCTAATCAAACCCACCAATTTCAGAGCCTGGGATCGCGCGCCGCCGACGGATCCGGTGGCCGAGCGCATGGCTTTACGCTAGAGGAAGCCGGGGCATCGATCCTCATAAGTGCCATCACAAATATTATGGCTTTTGTCATTGGAATGACATCATCTACGCCTGCCGTCAAGGCCTTCTCGCTATTCAGGTATCAATTTTTGAATTTTCAAAATGTTAAAACGCGTAAGAATGCTGGAAAACCTTGGTTCTTGCGCATTATCGGGGGGGGGGGGGGCATTCTTTCCGCAATGCGTAAAACCGAATAGGGAGCATTTTAATAATTTTTTGGTAAGACTTAACGATATTTCAAGCCAGAAAACCCGTCTAAACACCTCGAAAATCTCGGTTCTTTTGGTCGTAAAATCATTTTAACAAAAGTTTGTATGATTTTCAAAAAACACCACCCGCTTTTCAGTGCCGTCTCGATCACGGTGTGCTTCTTCTACATCCTGATCATGTTCACCGCCCTGTTGGCCCTGTCTGGCCGTCGTGAAAAGGCCGGGCTGCAGTCCATCTTTTGCTGTTTCAAGGCCAACCCACAGGTATGCCAGACACTACACGATGCTCCTATAATTGCTAATGGGATTGGGGAAGGACGTTGTTTACCAAATGGTACAACTCGATACAAATAACAACTGTTGGGAAGGGAAATGGGGATAGCTGGAAAAGCGGTACTGGACTGTTAGCCGGGGGGTGGGGGGCGACTATCTAGCCTATATCTCAATAGGAAAGAGATTTCTAAATTGTTTTTTATTCCGCCTAAACGTGAAAGCTTTGCAAATTTGTGTTAAAAAATGTCAAAAATATCGATTTTTCGACCGAAAGGGCCGATTTTTTACCAAAATTACTTTTTAAAATTTTGTAGCTAAATTTTCTAGTTTAAATATAGTTATATATTACTAAAAACACTATTAAGACACTTTCTATTACGTTACTAGGCATTTCTAAACCCTTACAAAAAATTTCGCACCATATTCAGAAATTTAACGAAACTCAGAATTTAAGAACATTCCAATAAAGTTTATGAGCTTTTTTTGTGCTGAAAAACGGCATAAAAGGGTAGATAAATGGTTTTTAATTTTTAGCACCCCCGCTAATAGTCCAGTATCGAAAAACATCGAAAAAATGGATCAAATAAAAATATAAATTTCAGGCACACTCGTCGCTGGTCGAAAAAGTCGTCACCCTGCAGACAGCCGCCATCAGATGGTGGGCAAAAGCCTGTCAAACGTGGACCACCCGGTAGTGCAATTTCTTCTCGCTAAACAGATAAACTTTAGGGCCGTTCTGCTGCTTATAATGCTCGTCTACTATTATTTCTCCATCTACGGCATCCAGCGCGTCGAGACACTAATTTCGCTCGAGAAGATGACACTCCCAGATTCATACGTTCAAGTAAGTCTCTACCTATAGGGCGCTAATAAGTTGAGAAATACCTGGTAGTGTAATAGTTAGTATTTTAATAGTGTTTTTAGGCAATTTACGGCTTAATTAAAATGGAGAACAATTGAAAAAATACTTCAAAAAAAAATATTGTTGAAATTTGGGTAAAACGGCTATCTATAGTCGGCAAATCGATTTTTTTTATGGGTTTGTAAAGTATTTGGTAAACACCGGAAAATGAGATCCTTAGAAAACCTTCCGAATTCCAGAAATTCCAAAAACACTTCGAAGATTCGATGCGCAGCATGCAGCCCATCTCGGTGTTCATCAAAAATCCCGGTGATCTGCGCGACCCGGAGCGGATGGCGAGTAAGTTGGGCGAAAAGCAAAAAGGATGCCCCGAACCGGGATCGAACCGGTGACCTTTAGATCTTCAGTCTAACGCTCTCCCAACTGAGCTATCGAGGCGGATGGGGTGCTGCGGGGAAAGACACTGACATTTCAGCGATCAAAAAGATTGTGGGCGAGTACGAGACGGCCGAGTTTTCCTATGGGCCCAATTCGACCTTTTTCTGGATTCGACAATATGAAGAGTTTTTAGAGGTAATTTTTAGAAGATAAATACGTTACAATCGGGCTTTTAGTATTACGTTGATTCGGATGATGAAGAAATTGAAAAGCCAAAGTTCACCTACACAGAGATCCCCGCCTTTTTCAAGGTATGGGTCTTATAAAGAAAGTTGATAAACCCGAACGAATAGCCTATGATATAATCAAAATTTAGTCGGCAACGTATTTCTACCTGGAAACCTTTGTAAAATATAATGAGACAGCGTGCGATGAAGACCGGCCGGAATGCATTTCCCAATTCTTCTTCCTGACAAATTTCGCTGGGGTTTGTTTCTTTTTTTTGCTTTTTATATGTAGTTTTATTGGTATTCTAAGAATAGCATTAAGTCTAAACATTTTTAGGTTATCAAATACCACGAGCTGATCCCAGCCGTGCAGGCCTGGCACGGACATTGCGGCAAAGTGCGCCGAGTTCGAGGGTGTACCCATTCTCTGATCATTCGCCGTTTGTTGATCAGGTAAATCTAATATTATATTATTCTATTAGATGTGTTTACATCAGATTCAAAACAATTGCAGACAATGTTGATCGACTCGACGGTGTGGTCTTCGGTGGGCGCCTCGCTTTTCTGCACGGCCATCGCTTGTGTCATCTTCATCCCGTCGCTGTTCTGTATCGTCTGTGCTTGCTGCTCAGTGTTTTCAATCACAAGTGGGCTAAATTTGAATTTTTATTTTTTGAAGCCTACCGCCTTTGATTGTGGGCGTACGTTTGACGGAAAATTAGTTTAGCCCTTTTTGAAGGCGCAGTCTTTCCAGTAGGATCCAATTCTTCGAATATCAATAGAAGAAGAGTTCATAAACTATTAGTTCTATTCCTAGGCGTAAAATCAGTACAAAATTTTATTAGAAAGTGGAAAAATGTCATTTTTCGACCAAAGTGTTACTTATATGAATGGTTTATTCAACCGGGTAATATAACGCGGGCGAAAAATGATAAATAAAAATTTTTCAACGTAAAGCGGAAAAAATGGTGTACTTTAAAACATGTTTTCTATGTTTTTAGATAGCCTTTTTACTTGATCGATCGTTAAATTTTTCTTATAACACTATCAAAATACTTACTATTACGCAACTAGTCATTACTGGACTAATCGCAAAAAAAATTCGGCGAATTGAACTGGCGCCGAAGTGACCGCCAATACCAATGCATTCTAGTCGGTATCGTCGGCTTCCTGGCGCTGTGGGGCATCCAGCTGGACCCACTGTCAATGGCCGCCCTTCTGATGGCCATCGGCTTCTCGGTGGATTACACGGCCCACATGTGCTTCCACTACTACAAGGCAAAACCGCGGAATCGTGTCGACAAGGTCGAGGAGGCGCTGTCGACGATTGGATGGCCGCTGATGCAGGTTGGTTAAAAAAGTGTTTATAAGCGAGAAAACCACCTTTACAATTTAGGTATAAATGCAAGGATTTTACAAATCATTAATTTTGTGATATAACCCGAAAAATTCTGCAGGTTGGCCTCTCGACGCTGGTGGCCTTGGCCCCGTTGGTCTTCAAACAATCCTACCTTGCCGTCGTCTTCCTGAAAACGATCACAGTGGTGGTTATTCTCGGAATGTGGCACGGACTTGTTGTGTTGCCAGTGGTCCTCGCTGCGTTGACCAAAGAGGAAGAAGGTGATTTTGGAAAGACATGTTGCGAATTATTTAATTTTCCAGCTCCTACGCCCTCATCTAGCGATTCCAGTGAGCGATCGTCACTAATGGTCGCACGAGCGGAAAGAGAGCATCTATCGCACGCAGGTTAGTTTTGAACTAAAACTTTTATTAACTGGAAATGGGGTACGATAGGGTAAAATCCATAATACAAATCCCACGAAATTCTTCAGAGTAAAAACGATTCTTTGCAATATAGGAGGCCCCTCGAGGGTGAACTATTTCCTGAAGATCCAATTCTTCAAATCAGATAGAGTAACTGTTTAAACCCGAGTAACTATCTCCGTACCGCTTACGGAAACAAACCACCCGATTAAAGGCGCTGATCAGCCGATTACACAAAGAGTTCGGGAAAAGCCCGAAGGTCGGCCCGATCGAGCCAGCGACAGCTCCAGAAAAAGCCGGCGAGCGACCAGCCTTGACGCATCGGATTGCTCTCGGAAGAACACAGTAAGTAGCTGTAAAGATCCAATAATGACCTATCAACTAAACACAAATAATATTCCTACAAAACCCGCTTCCAGATCTTCCGAGATCATCGACAAGGAGGGCGTCTCTTCCACGCCAATGCCCGTCGTCCAAAACGGCGCCTTGTAGCCGGCGATGACCATCCCCTAGGACATTCAAACCTTTCTCTTGGCAATTCATCATTCATGGGTCATTCTTTCACTTGTATCCCCCCGTGTCGCCTTGCCTGCATTATTTATTTTTTGAAAATTCTCGGAAATTGGCAAATTTCGCACGGTTCTCACGGTTTTTACTGCGGTATTTATAAGTTTACCGGACCCAAAACCGCTTTTTTTTAATCCCGAAAACCTTACTCTTAACCATCACATGCGATGGATCACTATCGTCGATGTCTATTACTATAAAAAGTAGCAAACGAACGGTACCGTGCTAACCGTGCGACCCCAGCTAATTTCCCAAATAACCCCGCCTGAACGTCTAAAAACTGTGATTCAACCAACCGTCAAAAATGCCCACTTTCCCCCAACCTTTTTTCTTTGTATTTATTTCCAATTACCCCCGAAACCCCTTGCCTTCGTCGAAGGTAAGTGATCTCACCCGGAGATGCTTTCGTCGTCATTTCATTTGCACAAACATTTTATCATTATAACTTACAAATTGAATAAATGTCTCGAAATTTGCTTTCCGAAACAATTATTACCCGGGAAAATGGAGCGGGCAACAACAGGCTTCAAAGAAGAAGGGAAATATTTGTTAGCACAATTTGAAGATTCTGCACGGTAAATGAAATTTTGCCTTCACAATTTCAAAGGAAGGATTCAAAGGTTTTGAAAAGGATTGCCCGAAATACGGAACCATGTAACTAACATGCCTACAACCAGAACAGAAAATATTTCTGCTTCAAGCCCGTCTGGAAACCGGAAAAACAAATGAGTATCACAGCATTGCAGCAATTTACGTGGTTCGCCGGCTCAATCGGCAAGTTCTCCCGGCTCCATATCGAGATCGACTGGCAGCTCGACTTCATCAACAGGGCGTCCGGCGGCTTGTGGAGGGGCTTTATTGGTTCTTGCGGGTCGTGTAGAGTTGAAAATTTTCCCGGCCGTTTGTTCTCCAGCTAAAAAGGATGTTTTAATAGCACTAAACGTAAACGGAACTGAAAAAGGTTCACGTCGAGAACCTTAAAATACCCCTCCCCCCCGCCCCCGCCCCCGCCCCCCGCTGACAAACCATGTCCGCTTTTACTAAAAAGACGCGTAAAATACTTGAATATCAAAAATATAACAGACCGCTTGAAAACACTAAAAGAACCGATTCCTGGCTTTATCACTAATCGTCTTTACTATATACAGCTTTAAAAAGAATATTAATACCTTTGAGCATAGATGCCAAGTCTGATTGCGGGATTTCTGTATGGCTCTCATGGCAAGGGTGAGGATCTCAGATTTTCCGTATCCCTAAAACCATTGAAAATACCCTCCAAAAGATTCAAAAATACCTTAAGCTCCACCGGAACGAGAGGCTCATAGATCGACGAAGGGAGGAGGCAAAAGCCTTCTTCACCAAAATTCTTCCATCATCCACGTATTTGTCGAACGAAGCGTCGGTATCTAAAGCCAGCAAATCAATTTGAGAGAGAAATCCCTTACCATAACCCTTGTCTTCTGGGATTGGAGTTTCCTCTTTTGGTTTAGATCGGGAGCGGGCTCTAAAATTCAAATACAAAATTGTTAGTTTTTATTTCCAAACCTCCGTCTCCGGCGCGATGCTTTGTTTTCTTCTTTGTGCTTCTTCGTGTCCTTTTTACGATGTATTATCTGTCTGGCAGGCTCTAAAAGCTCGTTAAAACAAAACCACGAGAGAAACCTGAGGAAGAACTGCTAGATGACGACGAGGAACTATCGTACCGCTTCCTCTTCCGGTGCTTCCTTCTCTCAGATTTCGGGGAACCGGTGAATATGTGCCTAAACCACTTTCCCAAGAAGTATACTTACTGGACTAACTGGATCGACTCGTTGACGTCGAACGACTGCGATGGCGCTTCTTTCCTTACTGCGGTGTTTCTTCGAGCTTTCGAATGCTCTTTGTGCTGCTTCTTCTTCATTTTCTAAAGGCAAATGTTTTTCGCAGTTTGGAAAACGCACCGCCATTTTTCATCGTAGAAATCCTGTTTTTCCTTTTTTTAAATATTGGAGATCTTTTCCAAAAAAACGAGTGAGAATTTTCGAATGATTTTGGTGGCGTAATGCGGTTGCACGCTATTCAACGCCCTGGTTTGTCGTTTGCAGCGCGCCGGACTCGAGCGCCCATTTCGAAAAATATGGGTTGCGCTAATAAAAAGCGGAGTTTTGCGCTTCCCTCATTGTTATATCTTTCTTCCCCCTGGTCTCTAAGACTTGCATTAGGTATAATTAACTTTTACGCTATCTTATAACTATCGTAAATCTAGCCTTCCCGTTTCCACCGTCGATTTTTCCAGTTTCTCACCAAAATAATATATTTTTTTACTTTTCAGCCTATGGCGAAGGTTATTCGTAACCAATGGGTCTTCCGGAAAGGCAATAAATGGCTCCGCTACCTGCCGAGAAGAAAAGATGGGCGCATGGGCGAATTCGACTACGCGAAGCAAGGGCCACGTTTGAAGATTTCTGCTCATCACAAGCCGAAGCGTCGCAAGCTGCGCCATCGAAACTATGGGTCAGCTGGCTGTATCGTGATTTGAGCGGCGAACCAAAATGGACGAAGGACCGTGTGCAAAAGCTTTTTGGTGCGGAACCGACGCCCGGAAAGATGGAGGTCTTTCCAAACACTCCGGCCTACAATGAAGAGCTGTGGAATATAAAACATCTGATCGAATTGCGGCCAATCACTTTTCCAAATGGGGAACCGACGAAGGCGGATGTCCATGCGTTGGAGCTCAAGCCGGATGGGAGCTGTGTTGTGGCGGAAAAACTGGCTGTCAGTGAGGAGCAGCTCAGGCTTTTTGACGAACAGAAGCAGCACACGGATAAAGAACTATCTTCACAATTGAACCGACGCTACTATGGCTTCAAAGACATCTTCGAGCGGAATGTCTATACCCCCTCCAACATTTCCATCATGAAATAATCGATTTGATCTCATTGTTTTGTTCGCCTTATGAGTGCGATTGTAGTTAGCATACTGGATTTCATCGTCTATCTTATGTAGTCTAGAGTTTTTTGTTTTCCTTGTTTGTTCTTGGTTTTTTAGGTGATTTGCTGCTATAAAGCGCTTTTCAGATGTCAGTGCAACCTGTCAACCCGAAGCCCTTCCTCAATGGATTGATCGGGAAACCGGTGGTCTGCAAGCTAAAATGGGGAATGGAATATCGAGGCACGCTGCTCTCGGTTGACGGATATATGAACGCCCAGGTTTGTCGCTTTCAGCATTTTTTGTATATTAATGAGATCTGATAAAAACACCATTGGATCTGTTTAAATTGCTACTTTACATCGCCGCTTTTTCAGCTCGGCAACGCGGAAGAATACATTGACGGCACCAACACGGGACAACTTGGAGAGATCATGATCAGGTACTACCTTGTGGGTGGCTGATCGATTTTTTTAAAGGTGCAACAACGTTCTTTACATCGGTGGCGCGGACGAGGCTGAGGCTTGAAGATCGATGCTGTCGCGGTCCCCTCCATTACGTGTTCCTAATTTTCATTTTGACTTATTATTCGCTTACCGATCTCTTTGTTATTGAATTCTGAAATAAACAATGGAAACAAGAATTCGCTCGGATTATTTGACATTTGGTCGGCATCCAAGTCATTATCAACTTAATCTGTTCCCAATAATGGTTTCGGTCAATCTGAATTTACATTTGAGTGGTTCGCTTAAAAACAATAATTCAGGTGACGATGCCTTCGTCCCGCGAACCAAGTGCTGAACCCAGGTTCGCCCTTGTCCATTACATTGAATTCTCTGTTTTTTAGTGAACCAAAAACCCCGGAAGGTTCTCCAGAGAGGGAACGATCGTCAAAGTCACCCCCAGCAAAGGTAGAGAGTTCGCAATTTATCCTGACTTAAAAGCCGGTTTAGACGCCGGAAGCGGATTCGGGCAGTGAGGATGGCTCGTCGACCAATTCTTCACCAGAGGATCGGGGTCGTATAAGGAGCACTGTGCAGATTGTCAAGCCAAGGGAAAAGGACAGGTGTGACTTGCCGGAAGTCTGTAATGTTTTTTAGGTCAAAGTCGAAAAGTCGCTCGAATTCACCGCAACAATCGCCTGAACGTCAGCGACAGCGCGATGATTCCGGTGACGGGCGGAGGGACCGCAGCGATTCACGGGAACGTCGTCGAGATCGTAGTGATTCGCGTGATCGTCGTCGGGACCGAAGCGATTCGCGCGATAGGAGACGTGAGAGGAGCCGTTCTCGAGATCGTCGTCGTGAGCGTAACCGTTCCCGAGACCGCCGTCGCAGCCGCTCGAGGGATCTTGACCAGCGGAGGCGCACAAGAAGCCGTTCACCCGATCCCAAGCGCAGAAAAGCCAGCCCTGAGAAGGCCAAGGAAAACGAACCACCCAAAGAGAAAAAGGAACCCGTCGATTTGCTGCGATCGCGCGCTGGCGGCGCTTACATTCCACCCGCAAAGCTGAAGTTGTTACAGGAACAGATCAAGGTTGTTTTCGTGCCACCACCATTTATGTATATTTTAGGACAAGTCCAGCGAGCAATACCAGCGTATGAATTGGGAGCGTCTGAAAAAGAAGATTCACGGTCTTGTCAACAAGGTCAATGCCGGCAACCTCGTCCAGATTGTCAGGGAACTGCTGCAAGAGAACGTGATCCGCGGAAAGTCAGTTCACGATCGATGAATAACTTTTTATACCTATTTTTAGGGGAGTATTGACTCGCTCCATCATCCAAGCTCAAGCTTTCTCCCCTACATTCTCTCACGTATACGCCGGCCTGGTTGCTGTCATCAACTCGAAATTCCCGTCCGTCGGAGAATTGACACTAAAGTAGCTTTTTGACCGTTTCATCATCCTCTTCCAGGCGTCTAGTCGTGCAATTCAAGCGCTCTTTCCGACGTAACGACAAGGCCACGACGGTCACTGTATCAAAATTCATTGCTCATTTGATCAACCAGCAAGTGGTACGTATTGTTGATTTTGTTCTCTTATTAGCTTCATTTTCCAGGCTCACGAGCTGCTGTCGATGGAGATTATGCTACTCATGCTGCAGAAGCCCACCGAAGATTCTGTGGAGGTCTGCATCGCTTTCCTGAAGGAATGCGGTGCGAAGCTGGCAGATGTAAATTTTTAGCGTGTTTGATGAGTGCATTTCTTTTAGATCGCTCCGCGCGCTCTCGATTCCGTGTTTGCCCGTTTGCGTAACATCCTTGCTGAGGCCCAGCTGGACTCCCGCATTCGCTACATGATTGAGACGGCGATGGCCGTGCGAAGGGACAAATTTGCGGTAAATTAGTACTGTCTATCAATTTTCCTTGTGTAGGATTACCCAGCATTGGTCGACGAACTCGACTTGATCTCTGAAGAGGATCAAATCACTCACACGCTCTCGTTGGAAGATGCTACGGATCCTGAGAATATGCTTAGTCAGTTTTCATGGCATATTTCTTAATTTTTCATTAGATATCTTCAAAATGGACCCTGAATTCGAAAAGAACGAAGCTGCCTATGAAGAAATCCGCGAACAGATCATTGGTGATGCTGGAGAAAGCAGCGAAGAAGAATCAGACGATGAAGATGAAGATGAGGAGAACAAGGAGCAAGGGGGAGCCGGTATTTGTATTGGTTCATTCATTGAAATGGATGCTTCAGGAAAAGCCGAGCCTATGGAGATTATCGACAACACTGAGCAGAATATGGTCGCCTTCCGTCGTGAAGTCTACCTGACCATCCAATCGTCGCTAGATTACCAAGAAGCTGCCCACAAGCTGCTGAAGATGGGTGTCAAGCCGGAAATGGAGGTAACGGATAGTCACTTACCGCTGAAAACACATTGTGCTAGTGGCAATTTTGCTATTTGCATTGGTATTTGTGAAAGAGTTACTCGTTTTAGCCCGAGCTCATTCACATGCTGGTCGATTGCTGCGCTCAACAACGCACGTATGAACGCTTCTACGGCCTTCTTTGCGAGCGGTTCTGCAGGCTGAAACGAGAATTCCAGGTTCAACAACCTGCCTTTTCTTTAGTTTTGTTTAGGCCACGTTTGAAACGATCGCACGTGAAACCTACACGACGATCCATCGCTTTGACATCACTAAGCTGAGGAACATGGCGCGTCTCATTTCACATCTCCTCTTCACCGACGCGATTACTTGGCTCGTGCTGAGCGAAATGAAGCTCAACGAAAATGATACAACATCTTCCGGCCGTATCTACATCAAGACCATCTTCCTGGAACTCGCGCAGATGATGGGGCTTGTGAAACTTTACGAGCGCATTCGTGACACGTAAGTTTTGTTTCTTTCCTATTTGACGCTCACGTTTGCCCATTAAAGCCTATGGTTTCAGGACCCTGCAAGCGGCCTTTGAAGGTCTCTTCCCGCGTGACAATCCAGCCAACACTCGCTTCTCCATCAACTTTTTCACATTGATTGGGCTCGGCGGATTAACGTAAAAACTTCACCGCATTCCTTCATCTTTCTTTTAGGGTTGATCTTCGCGAGTTTCTGGAAAAGGGCGCGAAGCGCAAGAAGTCTGTTTCCGCTTCGGATTCTGACTCGTCCAGCTCCGATTCCGACTCTTCTAGTGATTCCGATTCTTCAGACTCAGATTCAGGTAGCCAGTTTTGATGGCTTTGATTCCTTTTAGATTCGGATTCGTCCTCCTCGTCATCATCATCGTCCTCGGACTCTGATTCGGACGATGACGATAAGAAGAAAAAGAAGAAAAAGCAGGCGCCAGAGGCCAAGAAGGTTGAAGAAAGGAAGAGGAAGTCGAAAGACCAGGAACTACCACGACGGGTAATTTCCATTTTTTGGTGGGAAAAAGTTTTTAGGAAATTAAACAAGAAGTGGAATCGGACAGCGAGCGCAAGGAGAATCGGGATGAGCGCCGTCGTAGGCATGCGGATCGAGAGGAAGAGGACAAGAAGCCAGAACGGCGTGACGATCGGAGAGATGACCGTCAAGAGAACAGAAGGCACGAGCGCCGGGATCGGGAAAAGGACCGCGACGACGATCGTGACAGGAGAAGAAAGCGCAGCGAGTCGCCACGGTAATTATTTATTATCGGTATTTGATTTTTGTATTCAAAACGCGTGTAAAATCGCTAAATTTATTACTATTCTGAAAATATCCTTTTTGCAGTCGTGAGCGACGCGATCGAGACCGTGAGCGCGGAGACGGGGATCGTGTCCGCGAGAAGCCCCGTGATCGTGAACGTCCACGTGATGATGGTCATCGTCGCCGATCAGTCTCGGCGTCACCGCCGCCCCGACGGAATCGAGAGCGTTCCTGATCTTTTATTTAACTTTAACTCCATGTTTCGGTTTGTGATTGGTTTATTGTTGCGAGGTTGTTAGAGAGCCGGATAAATGTTGATTCTCATTTTTTTGCCATCACAGTTATTTTCTGGTTGTTTGGTCGGAAGTTTTGTCTGTATGGTTTTTCCTGAGTGGGGGCCCTATTCAAATTGCATTAGCCAACTGGCAATCAAGACGCGGGGATTTGCGGATTATCGGGCAGTCGGTAGACTGGGGAGTATGGAGTGGAGGTGGCTTCCCGCGGGGAGGCCGGGAGTAGTATGATTGGATGATTACAGGCCTCCACTTGCCGCCGAGGATTTCACTGGCAAGGCGGCACCAGATTGGATGTGAGCATCGGGCGGATGTTTGTCGGAACCGACAAAGTGAATCCAACGCATGCCTAAAGTAATAAGATTATACTAGAGAAATTATGGTGGGGGCAGTAGTCAACTTCACCTTATTTTAGGCGATGTATGCGCAGTGGTCAAGTAGTGTACCTGGATTGTGCTTTTAGTGTTCCGATAACAAAAACGTATGAAAACATTTTTGCAATTTGAAGTTTCCGCCCGGTTTGCGCCATATTTTATACATTTGACCAGGAAAAAGGAAGGATTTTTTGCTTAAAAACGACTTAAAAACTAAAATTCCAAATAGTCTTTATTTGATTACCGGACCCAAACGGGATTCCATTGGAAAAATTATTTGACCCCCCTGCCGCTAAAATAGCAGTCTCGCAATAAACAAGGAGCGCAGTACGTTCGAATTTTAAGTTGTTTCTTAGATTTACAGTGGTTTCTTAGTTCCTTAAGTTGTTTTTAGAGATTATTTAATTTTTAAATTTACCTCGTTTCGGAACCAATTCTAGGGTGACCCATTTCCAGCCGCTTCGAAATCCGCCAGTAAACCCCTATACAATTTTCAGAAACACTTTCCTCACCTGGTCGCCGCAGCCCTTTTGTGTTAACTCCAAGGTGCTGAGGGGCGAGGGCTTGATTGATGGCGTAAGACGAGTGGATGTGCTGACCCGTGCCCTTTGAATGCCCCCATAGTAGATAATCAGCAAGCGGCCGATCTACCCAACACAAAGAAGGGCCTCTAGTATTCGACAGTTCGCGGCTGCCCCCCGCACATTACCCCCTCCACCCCTTCATCATGATCACATCGCTGCACAGCGATCAGCCAGCCGCATCTGGCCCCGGGCAATGGTGTAAATTTTGGGGCGGCGCCTTTTCGTGTGTTGCGCAACGCGGGGGGTGGCTGTTGTCAACGGTGGGCAAACACCAATTATGTCATCAAATTTTGATAAACTTTTTGATAAACTTTTTGATGATTAAGATATCGTTTTAAGGGCGCACTTTGACCAGCTCCGTTTTTCCACAGTGGAAAAATTCGCATACAAAACGTCTGCACCTCTCACCAGGGCGCGCTCTATAACCGGAAAGGCATGCAAATTTTTCCACGTTTCATGGAAAATCGGCGCTGCTGAAAGTGCCCTTTAAATCCATAGGAAGGAATCCATAGGAATCCATACATTCTTTATTTCAGCCGAATCCATAGCAAGTCAATATCTTGTTCGTCCCTTCAAAATTGCCCGATTTCCCAAAGCAACCCTGCGAGCCTCCCATGTTCAAACCAATCTCATGACGGCCTGGTACGGTAGGAGTGACCGAGATCTCGAGTTTCCAAGGCCCACTCCCACGCCTCGCAACATCCGTCGAAAAAGCTAATAGGGAATCGCCGGGGGTAAAATAAAGGTCACTGGCAGCCCTAGGGGAGCGACACCGCATTTGCATCCGCGATACCGGAAACCAGGCGCGAAATGGCCATTCGCAGCGGGGGCGGCGCATAGCGCTAATTTCGGGGAGATGGTCAGCGAGGAAATTTTGGGGGTCTAAAGGCGTTAGAAAGGGTGAGCACCTGTCGTTAGATACCCAGAATATTTGGAACTGTTTTGAGGGAAAGTGTGCAAGCAGCGGAAGAGGGCAAATGGAGCCGTGGGGATTATCTGATTTGACGGGAGGTTGATTGGGGATGATTGGCGAGATATCTTTCATCGGGGAAGAGCCACGGATCCTTGACTGCACACTTCACAGCTAGCCGCTAATCCTGCAGTGACCCACACGGGACGATACCTTTCGGAGGAAGACGGTAGACTTCCGCTGCTTTTAGAAAGTATGGACGAAGGCGTTGGCAAAGATTTTGAAATTCAGTTTTATCAAATGATTGGCTAGGAGAGAGAGATAGAGAGAGAGAGAGAGAGAGAGAGAGAGAAACTTTAAACTGAATCTAGCTGCCTGTCATCCGAAACTTGTATGACTAGCGAGAGCGTGAGAGAGCGAGTGAGACAAAGTGACGAGAGGGGGAGAGAGAGCGAGAGAGAGAAAGTGAGAGAATGAGAGATATAGCTGCAAAGACAGAGAAAGACGAGAAATCGTGAGAGAGATTGGATGAGAAATCAGAAAATAGAAGTCAGTGTAAAATTCCCCGAATTTTTTTTGCTAAATCATCATTTAATTTTGTTTCTCCGCCACAATTTTAGTAGACCATATGGCTAATAGATTATCAAAAAAGACCGCATGTACATCTCTCTCTCTCTCTCTCTTTCTCTCTCTCGCTCCATTCTCCTGTCATCATCCATCAAAATCGGTTGTTCGATCGTTTAGCCGCGTCCTCTCATCCCTTACATATTGACACGTGTCGGAAGCGTGCGGACTTATGATCCCTCCGGTATCGCCTACATGCAAATCATTTATCGAGTATCGGGTGTTTCCCCCTTTAAATGAGCCCCCAGGCTGTATGCAGATCTTTTCAGCGGGTCCGTCTCCCACGACATCGGTCCTCTAAACATCTGCGGGTGGCTGTAAATTAATGTCCCCCCAGGGTATCACCATGACATCAGCTCGTTTTCGGTGCCTTGGGCGGTTAGGATGGCAATTTGTGCTTCCTATTTGGGTCTGTGGCCGTGTGAAATGCGGATTTCCTTAATTTTCTTGTCACCCGAGGCTAGAAAAGTTTTTTTTTTCAACGCTGGTCTGCCATTTTTAAGGTGGAAATAGAGTGGAGTGCGAGTTTTTCGATATAATAAATCGATATCTTGTAAAAAATATTCTAAAATAAATTTGGCGCGAATCAAAAAGGGATGAATTACGATAAAAATTATGTTTCGCCTAAAGCAAAAATCACAAAATAGAGGATGAATAAGTTCTTAACGTAGATCTCCCATTTTTTAAGGTCTCAAAATATGTGTGAAAAAGCTGGAAAAGCTTAAATTCAGTGAAAATTCAAATTGAATAAATTCCTTTTCATTTAAAGCGACAAAAATTAAAATTTGGGCTAATAAATGGACTTTTCGGAATTTCAGTTGTTTTAGACAGCGGATAAATCAGATATTTTTTTCTGGCAGCGTCTGGATTTTTTATAAAAATTTCCGAGCCGTTTTTCTTGTAGAGCTGCGCAAGGGTTGTAAAATGATGTATAAAACGTCAAAAAACAAGTCTTTTGGTTTTTAGAAAAATTCAAAACCTTAAAAAATTTCGCATTTGAGCACGGAACGGGCGGTATGCCTTAAAAGACACGTCAGCCCGGACAGGAGCCTACTCGCTCTCTCTCTCTCTCTCTCTCTCTCTCTCTCTCGCTCTCTCTCTCTCTATCTCTCTCTCTCCTCTCTCCTCTCCGGGGGAGCATGGTTATAGGCTACGGTAGGTCAGGGAAGGGCGGAGTCTTTGGGCTGCACCCCCATCCGACCACCTTCGTCGATGATAGCCATTCCCAAAACGGGACGAACCCCCGGCCCGCACCATTCGAAGCTGTTCACACTTCATTTCTGAACCTCCCGAAAGCGCGCCATTTTTCCTTGGCGTTCTTCGGCTTGAATTTGTATACCTTAAACCGCGACGATGACGGCCGACCCGTCGAATTTGGCGTTTACCCATATTCTGGGGCAGGTGGGAAAATTTGTCGTGGTTTTTGGCTTTGGGCTTAGGCTTAGGCTTAGCTTTAAGCTCAGGCTTAGTTTAGGCTTAGGCTTGGGCTTGGCTTACGCTTACGCTCAGCTTCGGCTTAAGCTGAGGCTAAACCTTAGACTTTGGCTTGTGCTGGACCTACCTTGGCCCTCCGCGTAGATTAAGCTTAGGCTTAGGCTTGGGTTTGGCGTACGCCTACGCTTGGCTTCAGCTTAAGTTAGGCTTAGGCTTAGGCTGCTTAGGCTTAGACTTAGGCCTTGGTTTCGCGCACGCCATAGGGAATCCGTAGCCAACATGAGCGTTACAAAATAGAAACTGTCCGTAGAAAAGTACGATAGTCTAAATTACAAATGCCGAGTTTCGTTATTTCTCGGTTCAGAATCAAAATATTTGTAGGGTCGCGTGAACCAGCTCGGCGGCGTGTTCATCAACGGCCGGCCACTGCCGCAGCATATACGGGCGAAAATCGTCGAGATGGCGGGGAATGGCGTGAAGTTCGTTTTTTCGTAGAGAGAGAGAGAGAGAGAGAGAGAGAGAGAGGGAGGGAGAGAGAGAGAGAGAGTGAGAGAGTGAGAGAGTGAGAGCGAGCGAACGAGAGAGAAAGAGTTTTTGAAGCTAATTCTAGCCAGTTTAGAGTACAAACTTCTGTAGCTTTACCTACTACGTACGTAATTACGTAATAAGGTACGCTAACGTAGCTAATCCGGATTTTTCAGACCCTGCCAAATTTCTCGCCAACTTCGCGTCTCCCACGGGGCCGTGTCGAAGATCCTCAACCGTTTCGCGGAGACGGGCAGCATTTGCCCAGGACAGGTGAGGCTTTTTGGCATATTTTTCGATCTAAAACTCCGTACTACCCTACGTTACACTCCCCTTCACGCAACGGTTCCGCGCGTCTCCTTATTATTGCAAGAAAACGATGGAAACTGTGCGCTCGTTCGAACCGGGTTACTGTAGCCCTCCTCCCCTCCATGGCTACAGCGCGAATAGCGGGCAGTCGGCTGTGGCGTCCCGCTATGCAAATCACA